CCGCTGTTTTCATAACGTTTTTTATAGTTTGCGTTTGCAATAACTCCCAGTAAAAATAAGGATTCCCAGAAACGTTTTCCAGCGATGCTTAATTAAAAGCGAATATGCACATATCACTTGTGCCATTGAAAACACTATTTTGCAACAGATTATGTTCGACTAATTTCGTAGGTAATGATTAAAGTATAATCACAGGTATAATAACGTTGAATCAGCGGAATCGGTAAGAACGTAATTTTCCCATGATATCTGCGACTTCGACGTCATTCGAGTTCACCGGGAATCCCTTGTTTCCTTGATGAAACTAAGAACAGTAATCAACATGTAGGTGAACGACATGATCGAGATAATTAGTGACACAATTCCATTTCTCCGTCAGTTAAATAAAAAATGTTAAACTCACGAAAGTACAGTTTCACTTGTGATTCACTGTGACTCACAGGTTTATTAACAAGGAAGTGATTTGAGCTTCGTGATTAGCTCTGATTTCATTTTAATTCAATTCTGTTTTCGTTATAGGATAAAATTGTTGGATCAAAGATTGGAGGAGGCAGACCATAAGCAGATTAATTATAATGATTTTCATAGTTAATATTTTTAGATATTTTTTGTAGTTAATTTATGGTTGATATAATTAATCCTTTAGTTTATATGATTATGTGCAGTGCACCTAATTTTTGTTGTTAACCTAATTAATTGTATAGTGTATATAGTGTAACATGATTTACAGTTCATGCAATTAATTTACAGGCAATGCAATCAGATATAATCTTAACCTTAATAAAAAAATTGTAATAAAAAATTGCAATAAAAAATTGCAAAATAACAAAGTAATTTTAGTAACAAATATAATGACAATAATTAATAAACCTTGCTTTGACAAATGATTTACAATTACAATAACAATGCCTATAGTTACAGTTACTATCAACAATTCTCACAGAAATAATTTTCAATGACAAAGTTTCAATTAGGAAACCTAACCTCAAAAGTGACAAGTCGAAAGAAAAATGCATTTCGCAGCAGACAATCATAAATTTTTCCACCAGCAATGAAACTTGCTGCAAATATTTCAAATTGTTGAAAGATTCGTTCATGTTTGTCAGATGAAGTATATAAAATAAATGGAGGCAAAGATTAACGCGATGCGGATAAAGTCGGTTTAAGTTTTGAAACGGTAGAGACTGCAAGGTCGTTCTTTGATTACATCATTGCAGACCTTGTGTCTGTTACTCTCGACCAATTCAGTTTCAAACTACGTGAAATTTAAATATATAGAACGACCTGGTGAAATGTTTCACGTTTGTGTCTTTCACGATGTATGGCAATTATAAAACTGTGGATGGATCGTGGTATTCGTGGTTTTGATCATTTTATTTGAATTTGTTATTGAGAGCTGACACACTTTTTGAACTTCTGAGCAAATTTTTGAATTTTTTTAACTTCTTAAATTTTTTAAATTTCTTATATTTTTTAAATTTCTTAAATTTCTTAAATTTCTTCAATTTCCAATATTTTTTAAATTTCTTCAATTTCTTATATTTCTTAAATTTCTCCAAATTCCTCAATTTCCAATATTTTTTAAATTTCTTAAATCTCATCAATTTCTTCAATTTCTTAATAACTTCCTAAGTGAACCTAACCTTTTAAATGAACCTAACCTAAACCAAGAATGAATGCAATACCAGAAATTATCTTGCTGTTCTCATTCTACAAGACAACGTTCTAAACATACGAATGCATCTACATTTATAATTAATTCTCGAGTAGAATAAACAACTAAAGAGCAAGTATACTCTGTAGACAATGAAGATACTTGTTCAGAGAAATGTGATTCGAAAGCCAATTCGCAGCGCTGTATCAGCCACAAGAATGCGACTCAGAGAACCACATACGAGACAAGCTAAAAATAAAAAGGATTAGTCAGAGAAGATATATTGAACTTGTTCGAAAATAAATAAATTCGAAATAACGTCAGATTTTCTACTTTCCCAAGCGAAATTTCACAAAATTATAATCGAATCCTCAAATTTTCTAATTGACTCGCTGTGTTATTAAAATAAAAATAAATTGATGTAGTCTTCATGTATTTTTCTGTTGAATGTGATTGATTTAATAGCATCAATTATTGTGTAAAAAAATTAATAGGTTTGCTGTGGTTCGGTGATTGTCATATGTGTGACCTTCATAAGAACATATGTGTAGTACATATGTACATAAATATGTAATATACATGTGTAATGCATATGTTCCAAATGTACATATTAATAAACAAATATGTTTAATGTAATTGACTATATGTTACAGACACATTCTATATAATCGAATAATTTATACATATGTTCATGTTCAATATATGAATATAATTTACACATATGTTCAGTGCAATCAAATAACTCATGCATACATGTTCAATATAATTCAAATAATTAATACACATGTTTAGTACGTTAAATTAATTTACACACATGTTCCATGCAATCAAATAACACATGCATATATGTTCAATACATGTAAGTAATTTATACACACATGTTCAACATAATTCAAATAATTAATACACATGTGTAGTACATCAAAATAATTTACACACAAGTTCCATATAATTCAAATAATTAATACACATGATTAGTACGTCAAATTAATTTACACACATGTTCCATGCAATCAAATAACACATGCATATATGTTCAATACATGTAAATAATTCATACACACATGTTCAACATAATTCAAATAATTAATACACATGTGCAGTACATCAAAATAATTTACACACATGTTCCATATAATTCAAATAATTAATACACACGTTCAATACATGAAAACAATTTACACACATGTTCAATATATCAAAAAAGTTAACACAAATGTTCAACACAATCAAACAACTCATACCCACATATAACATATCAAACTAACATACACATATGATAAATACTACTATACATAACCAAAAAATTAAAAAAGAAGAAGAGTCTTCTTTAAAGAAAAATTACGTTATTGACACAAGACAACAAATTGAAAGGTTTAATTGAAAAATTGAGTATCATAGAACACATTGCTACGAATGTCCATCTTCAGTAGAGTACTTAACGAGTTAAAAACATGACACCTCATTATCCACATCCATTGAAGTGTGAGAAGTTCTCACCTTGGGCTACAAATAAAAGAATAGTAACGAACGATAATATAAATAGAATTATCATATCTGATCGGTACAAATCGTGGGAATGTAGTTTCAATAATCACCGGTGTTAACATCTCGCGTGTATCCTTCTACCTCCTACTTCCTTTTTTTCTCTGATCTTTCGAGGTCCTCCAGCAGTTTGCGGTCGGACCTGTTTCGATAAACATCTCTGTTCAACACGTTTGCTAACGAATTGCACTTTAACGCGAGATATTTAGTGAAGTGAAAATATGACAATTATTGAATTGTTAGTGGTATGACAGTTAATTAAGTGTATTTAACAAATGAGTTCGTGGTTGAAACACGTTTATGCGGCTGTAACGCCGAGGAGGTTAATATCTTACGTTTTGAAAGTGATGGTTTATGAATATTAATATTTTGGCGAGTCTTTGAATTTTCAAATTTTCAGGAGGTTCTAGATTCTGAATTATACAATTTTATTTATGAAATTTAACGTTCATAAATTTTTAGGAGTACAAAATTTTGGGTCCACAAATTTTGATATTTACAAATTTCTATATTTTTGAAATTTTAAACAAATTTTTGTATTTACAAATTCTAATGTTCTTGGTTACCTAAATCTTCAAATTTCTAGTTTTCAAATTAAGTAACAAGATTTCCAAGTTTTTAGAAGCTTCAGATTCCCAAATTTCATATATGCTGAATCTCACATGTGCCAAATCCCACATCTGTCAAATTCCACATATGACAAATCCCACATGTGTCAAATTCTACATATTCCAAATCCCACATGTGACAAAACCTACATATTCTAAATTCCACATATGCCAAATCTCACATATGACAAATGCCACATGTGTCAAATTTTACATATTCCAAATCCCACATATCCTAAATCCCGCACATCCCAAATTCCACATGTGACAAATCTCACATATTCCAAATCTCACACATCCCAAACTCCACAGGTGACAAATCCCACATATGCCAAATCCCACATATTCCAAATCCCACACATTCCAAATTTCACATGTGACAAATCTCACATATTCCAAATCTCACACATCCCAAACTCCACAGGTGACAAATCCCACATATGCCAAATCCCACACATTCCAAATTCCACACATTCCAAATTCCACATGTGACAAATCCCACATATTCCAAATCTCACACATTCCAAATTCCACATGTGACAAATCCCACATATTCCAAATCTCACATATGCCAAATTCCACATGTGTCAAATTCTACATATTTCAAAACTCACACATCCCAAATTCCACATGCGACAAATCCCACATATGCCAAATCCTACACATCCCAAATCCCACATATGCCAAATCCCACACATCCCAAATTCCACATGCGACAAATCCCACACATCCCAAATTCCACATATCCCAAATTCCTTAATCCCTAAATCTTCAAATTCTAAGAACCCAAACACCCCAATCCCCAAATCCCAAACTCGACTCCTCTCCACCCACAAAAATTCCCTAAAACTCCCGCAAAAAATAGGATCGAATAAAACATCTCCAAAGCTCTGAATTACCATATATTCCCCAGGAAAAACAATTCTGCGTTAGATCTCCACGCAACGATATAAACCAACAGTGAAAATAAACTCTATTTAAACAAACTATTTCAAAGAGTGACATTTATAACGTATCATCGCAGTTCCAACAGTTTCCTGAAGATAACTATGTTTTTATCAGAATAGCACAGTAATTTCACGTTTCGAGGAAAGTAGTCATGCATTCCCACATATCCGCGAATCGCGAGCGTCTCATTAACACTTCCCCGTTCAGTCTCGTGTGACACGGTCATTCTGTGTTATGTCCGAAAGCAGAGAGCCCCGAAAAATGGCGCATTTCGAGAAGATGGACGAGCAGCATCCTTACTACGCGATCGCCGCGGCCCGAATGTGGCAAAAACCGGAAACTAAAGAAGTGACTGTCGCGTCGATCTATTGGAAATTTGCGGCATTCAACTTTCTTCAGAACAAAAGGTGAAAGTTGTGGTGTAACGTAGCGTAGTTGACGGAGCAAGTTTATCACAATCATCTGCTATGTTTATACATCATTTAATTTCAAGCGTAAAATTTTGCTGAGTGCTTGTATTATTTGTTAAAATGCGCTGAATTAAGATAAGGCTATTAATCTTTTAATCTTAACTATTAATGACGTATTGTGGGTTATTAACGAGAGATTTGTGGATAAGAAATAAAATTCTGTTATTACGTTAATGTTATATAAGCTTGCTTTGCTATAATTGATTTATTGATTAATAGTTGCATGGGCTGTGCCATGTAGGTTTAAGGATGAAGTATAATTGCGGGGACTGGTGATAATAATTTTGCAAAATTGTAGCGGGGGATTGGAGAGAATGTAGGGAAGGTATATGATACTGGGGAGAATTTAGGGATGTGAGAAGTTGGGAATGTGAGGAGTTGAGGATGTGAGGATTTAGGGATGTGAGAAGTTGGGAATGTGAGGAGTTGGGGATGCGAGGATTTAGGGATGTGAAGATTTGGGGATGTGAGGATTTAGGGATGTGAAGATTTGGGGATGTGAAGATTTGGACATGTGAGGATTTGGATATGTAGAGATCTGAATATGTGGGGATTTGGATGTGTGGATATTTGGACATGTGACGATTTGGGGATGTGTGGAATTGGAAATGTGAGGATTTAGATATGTGGAGATTTGGAATATGTGGGATTTGTCACATGTGGAATTTGGGATGTTTAGGATTTGGCATATGTGGAATTTGGGATGTTTAGGATTTGGCATATGTGAGATTTGGAATATGTGGGATTTGTCACATGTGGGATTTGGCACATGTGAGATTTGGAATATATGGAATTTGGAATGTGTGGGATTTGGCATATGTGGGATTTGGGATGTATAGGATTTGGCATATGTGGGATTTGTCACATGTGGAATTTGGGTTGTGTGGGATTTGGAATATGCAGAATTTGACACATGTGGGATTTGGAATATGTAGAATTTGACACATGTGGGATTTGGCACATGTGAGATTTGGAATATGTGGGATTTGGGATATGTGGGATTTGGCACATGTGAGATTTGGAATATATGGAATTTGGGATGTGTGGGATTTGGCATATGTGGGATTTTGGGATGTATAGGATTTGGCATATGTGGGATTTGTCACATGCGGAATTTGGAACGTGTGTGATTTGACATATGTGAGGTTTGGAATATGTGGGATTTGTCACATGTGGAATTTGGGATGTGTGGGATTTGGCATATGTGAGATTTGGAGTATGTGGTATTTGACATATGTGGGATTTGGGATGTGTGGAGATTTGGACATGTGAGTATTTGGATATGTGAAGATCTGAATATGCGGAGATTTGGAAATGTGACGATTTGAGGATGTGAGAAGTTGAGAATGTGAGGATTTGGAAACAAAAATTTGGCTATATAACTATTTGAAAATATAAAAATTTAGTGCTATTGGTTTTGGCACGTTGCAAATTCAAAAATATAGAAATTTGAATACATAGAAATTTGCAAATATTAAAATTTGAAGATTGCAGAGTCTCAGAGATATAGTGATATATAGATATAGATTTGGGGATACAGTAATTTAAAGATGTTAGCATTCAGTAATGCAGAGTTATTCAAAAATAGAAATTTGCAAATGCATATTCTAAGAAGGTTAGATTAGGTTGTACTCCTGAATACATAAAGATTTGAAAATTTCAAGATTTGTGGAATTTGAGAATTTGTTAATTTGACTACTCAGCTATTTATAATTATTTATGGTTTGCATATAAGTTTGCAAGCTCACTTATTTAAAAAATCATGAGCTTAAAAATATTTGCAAACTTACAAATTTAGAAGTTGCAAATTAAAAAATTGAAAAGCTACAAAATTCACACTTACACCTTCTCACCAACTAAACTCACATTAATCAAAATTTCTCAGCTCCACAAAATCCACTACTCTTTTGCAAAACTATTTCGCTTCTACAATCACAGAAAGCTTCACCAAGTCAAACCCACACCCCAAACGACACATGTAACTCATCTTCAGTATGAGCTCTTCATCTCCGCTATCCACTATCTCATCTTCCCCCAAAAATAATTCACAGAATCCAAGAATCAGATGGCGGCTTTTTCGAAAACCTCGGAACTCTACTGGCCGAGAAGGTGCGAGCGCAAGAGCAAGTGGAAGGACCCATTCCGAAGAAGAAGGATGACTTGGAAGCGGAAGAAGAAGAAGAGGAAAGCAATCTGAGCGAGGTGGAAAGCATCGAGGAGCCTGTCGAAGCACTTTTAGAGACTGACAGCGACAGGGACGAAAATGAACACGCCACGAATTTCTTGGCCGAGTCTATGGGATGGAACGTGAGTTAGAACTGTTATTTATTCTTTTCGTTCACATAATTCGGGTCGAGTGGTTGTATTTTTGCGTAACTCTTCGTTTACACTTGGTTGTCCTCCGCGTGTGGTTTAAATCGAGATCAAGGTTGACGTGTTACTGTCAGACATCAATTTTTACGGGCTAACATACTTAATTTTCTTTTATCATTTAATATTTATCACGATCCCCAATTATGTTGTGTAAAAACATTGATCGATTCGCTCGCTCGAGAGTCCGCGTATTCGACGCGTGGGTGTCGAGGAATTTCAAGAGTTTCTTTTCCCGAGGCCAAAATTCGGTGTGCGTGTATTTCGAGAGTAGTCGACCAGCGATATTGTAACAATCTTCGCAAAATCGTGAATGGATCGACTTAAAATAAAATGTTATTACCTCAGTAGCGTTGTCGACGTCATCGAGAATAAGGGGTGGTCTGTTCGATGGACGCTACTTACGGACGTTGGATTTATTTAATGCTAACGACGGAGATTATAGGAAACAGATGCAGGAAAAAGCTTGGGAACTGTTACATATAGCTACTGTGATACACTTTCACTTCACATATGTTTTTAATGTGTTTGGTAAACGTAATTTGTTACGAAATTAATTTCTTGGATATGTGAAGTATATTTATTTTATAGGGATATTTCTGAGAAATTGTGGAGTACATATCTATTGTATAGGCATATTTTTTGTGAAACATTAGTATATTTATTGCATAAGGATATTCTTGTGAAACGTTAGTATATTTATTTTATAGGGATGTTTCTGAGAAATAGTAGTATATTCATATTTATTATCTAATAGAGTTATGAACAGCGAGAAAGATGGGAATATATTTATACATTGACTTAATAAAAAAACTATTTCAACATAAACTAATATTCTTATCAATATTCAACATCCGCTTATTTTCGTTTAAAATAATTTGCCTTTTATATTCTTGCATAAAAATAAGTAATGTACACAAGAATTTCACTGAATTTGTGATTACAATTTCTTTCTTATAGTCCCATATTAAGACAAAAATAATATATAATAATTTATAGAATAATTTCAATTTGTAATCAATATAATTTATTTTTGATATTCTTGTAATTCATAAAATAATTTTACTTAATTTATTATTGAAATAATTTATTTCTTATATGCTTACGTTAAATCTAATTTATAAAATAATTTTAATTAATTTATAATAAAAATAATTTATTTCTCACATTCCTACATTAAATATAATTTATACAAAAATTTTACTTAATTAATAATTAAAGTAACTTAGTTCTTGTCTAACAAAATTAAATGTAACATAAAATAATTTTAATTAATTTAATTTTAACAATCTCACAATTAATATAATTTATTTCTTACATTCTTACATTAAAACAAAAATCATGAAATGATTATAATTCATAATTAAAATAATTAATTTCTTATCCACCATTTTCTTCAATACAGCAATTCAATCTCCACTTCAATTTCTACACTTCTATACACTTCCTTCACTCACATACAATAATTGAAAAAGAAATCGACCATAGTCTAATTATATTGAAGTATTGTTTCATTGATTATTCACAAGAATTCATGATTGAACTGTGAGGGTGAAATCTATCGTGCAACAGTAACAGGACGATATTGATTTCACAAAGGTTGCACAGTTGTAGCCGACTATTCGTCGACGTTTCAGTCCAATAGTGTCGTTTGATGTTCCTAAATAATACCATTACTGTGTTAAATTTTGGCGATGAAAATAATGAGGCTGGGAAAATATGACGCTTCGTTCTCAATCAACCTTGATGAACATTATGTGAGTAAAAAAACATGTACTTACTTGAGTCACATCAATTAAAATGTAGTAAAAATATAGAAATTTGATATAGTAAAACCTTCCATAATTTAAATTATAATGTACAAGGTTTATAGGTTAATCATATTTTAATTTTTAATTTGAAATTTTAGAATTTATTGATTTATGAATTTTTGGGTCATGTGGAGAGATGTTGGATGTGGAATATTGTTCCATATGTTAGATGTGGGACATATTACATATGGGACACATTAGATATGAAATATATTACATATGGGACACATTAGATATGGGACATGCATAGGAATTTAGAAGTTTGAAGATATAAGGATTTGGAAATTTGAGGAATTTGGTAATTTGGAGATTTAGGGATTATTTTGAGGTGTTGAAATTTAGGGAGTTGGGTTTGGAACACGAGGTTTGGAAATTTGGGTTATTAAGCTTGAAATTTGGGGACATAGAGATTTGGAAATTTGAACATAGAGGAGTTTGGTAATTTGGACACTTGACCATTTGATTAGTTGGAGGTTTTGAAGTTTAGGGAGTTGGTAGATTTGGAATGTGATAATTTAGAAGTTAAGAAATTTGGGTTATTAAGCTTGAAATTTGGGAACATAGAGATTTGGAAATTTGAGGATAGAGGAGTTTTGTAATTTGGACACTTGACCATTTGATTAGGTGGAGGTTTTGAAGCTTAGGGAGTTGGTAGATTTGGGACACGATAATTTAGAAGTTAGGAAATTTGGGTTATTAAGCTTGAAATTTGGGGACATAGAGATTTGGATATTTGAGGATAGAGGAGTTTGGTAATTTGGACATTTGATCATTTAATTAGTTGGAGGTTTTGAAGTTTAGGGAGTTGGTAGATTTGGAATGTGATAATTTAGAAGTTAAGAAATTTGGGTTATTAAGCTTGAAATTTGGGGACATAGAGATTTGGAAATTTGAGGATAGAGGAGTTTGGTAATTTGGACACTTGACCATTTAATTAGTTGGATGTTTTGAAGTTTAGGAACTTGGTAGTTTTGAAATATGATAAGTTAGAGGTTAGGAAATTTGGGTTATTAAGCTTGAAATTTAGGGACATAGAAATTAGAAAATTTGAGGATGTGAGTTTGGTATTTTAGAGATGGAATTATCTTGAGGTTATAAAATTTAGAAATTTGCTAGTTTTAGTACATAACAATTTAGAGGTTAAAAATTTAGGAATGCTTCAGATTTAAAGATGTTGGAACACAAAACCTTGAGGATCTAAAAAATATAACAATTTGGATACTCGATTTAATCACAAGGTTACAAGATTTGATTATTTTCATATTTAAAACAGATACATAGTACATAACATATACAGGTTGTCTCACAATTACTCTAATTCCCAGCAAGGATTTATAGCCTCGTTAATTCTGAATAAATTCTCCCATTTCAAAACTGACAATAAGATTTGAACCTCCATTTCTTAATGCAGTTCATTAACAAAAATCACCGCCCAAAATTAAATTTATCATTACTCCTCCAAATTCTCTCCTACACAATGCAGAACATACCATCACAAAATCCCAAAAGCTTCTCACAAAAAATCCCAGTCTTGAACCCAGCCTTGAAATATATCTAACCGTGAAGGTATCGAAAAAGAGAAACGTAGGAGCACGTGAATGCCTCAATTATGTCACCGATATGGCGCGCGCTGCAGGGTGTTATCCTCTAAGCTGAATCGAGCAGTTAAGCTCAATCTGAACATCGACGTGCTGGTGTTGGTGTGTTATCCAACGTTTGCGACGTTGTTGCACACCACCACGAGTCGAATCGTCGACGTACGACGACTTCGTTCTGTCGGTCCATCTATTCCTGGCAGTGTGCTGCTCGACACCGTCAGACTCCTGTCTCGTCTTCTCTTCGCGATTATCCTTTTGCGCGACCCCCGGGGGGTCTGTGGTGTTTTCAAGGTCGTTAACGGGATAAGTGGTTTGGTGACTCAAATGTGGAGAAATGTGGAGATGGGGTAGTTTGGGAGGTTTGTGGTTTTTGGGGTGAGAGGTGGATTAGGATGTTGTGGAATTAGATTTTTATTGGGTTACTAGTAGGGCTAATTAGATTTCTATTGTTATTACTATTAGGGTTAATTAGATTACTATTGGGTTACTATAAGGACTGCTTAGGTTACTATTAGATTACTATTGGGTTACTATTAGGACTAGAATTACTTACAGGACGGTTAGAAAAGACGATCAAGGCGTAGATCGATGGATCATCGTTGTGGATGGTGAAATATGTGGAGTATTAAGGTTTGGAGCTTGGATGGGTTTATGTTAGATCTGTGTTAAGTTATAGTTGTATTTGTGGAATTTAGAGTCGACATATGACTAGGTTTGGGTTATTTATCTTAGGCCTAGCTTAGTTAAATTGTGGTAGAATTGATGGAATTTGAAGACTGGATGTGAATGGGGTTGGGTAGTTTATCTCAAGTTTAACTTATTTAAATTGTGGATGTACTATTGGAATCTGGAGTCTACATATGACTAGGTTTGGGTAATTTATCTCAAGTCTAGATCCAGTTAAATTATGGTTGCATTAGTGAAATTTGGGGACTGGATGTGGATGGGTTTGGGTAGTTCATATCAAGTTTAAATTATTAAAATTCTGGTTGTAGTATTGGAAGTTGGAGTCTAGATGTGGATGGGTACTGTATAGTTAGGTCTACATTACTTTCTTGAACTGTAATTAAATTGTTGAAACGTGGAGTTCACATGTAGATGATTTTAGATAGTTTATTAGGACTAGCTTATTTGCTTAAATTGCAATATTTTTTACAATATTTCCTCAAAAAATATGGTTATATTTTTGAAATTTAATGTTTGGATATAGATAAGTTTGCATAGTCTGTTACACTTAGATTTATTTAAACTATAATTACATTATTGAAGTTTGAAAATAATAAAAGTTAAGTAATTTCTGTTCTACAGTTATTCACTTAAATGTTTGCTTATCATTCACATTAAATGTGAATATACTGGATACACTATTGGAACTTGGAAATAGAGGTTTGGTACTTTATGTTAGGTCTAAGGTTTCATTCTAATAATCACTGTACTATTACAATTTAGAAATAATGATAATTAGCAGATGTTATTAGAAATAAAGGTGACCTGGAAATAAAGTAGATGTTATTTTCTAGGTTAAGTG